AAGGTGAATTGATAAAACAATTAATGGAGCAGGGTCAGATAATATGACAATGATTGAGAAAATGACTTTTGGGCCAATATGATGATAGCGGCTTGACATTCGTCATTTAAGGCACTTGGAAGTGATGTATGCTTTGAGAAAGTACAAATTTACAGGATGAAATGTCGTTGGCCAAATTTTGTCAAACATGGCTAAAATGATACATATACATGTTCTCATGTTGTGTATTAACTTTGAGCTCATTCTGATCAAATTTAAATTTATTATGAATTTTTAACATTGCACAATACTTACGTAGGACTAGAACTGGGACTTTGGCCAAATTTCGTCAAAATAGCGAGAAAGAATTCTCCATTTTTATAATTTTTTCCTCATAGACATACAAGTTTTGATGTTGTAGAGAACATGTGAGCTGATTCCAATCAAAATTTATCAATTCTTAAACTTGCTCCAAATGCCATGTACTGTATTATAGTAGTGATTGCAAAGCATGCTATTTAGCTCACTTAGCATGCTTTGTGGGAAAGGCTGGTTATGGTACACAATTCTACAGCATATACTTCCACTAGTTAAAACAACTCATATTCTTCAAATCATTATTTGTCGTTCAAAATCATTGGATAGATGTGGCATTAAGCATATTATGAAGCAGCTAAGTTATTCGAGTGTTTGATTCCATTTACAAACAAGACAAAAAAATAGTATTTAATTTATTTGAAAATTCAGGACAAGAAACAGCTGTAGTTAATAAACTAAAAAAAGTTGGAGGACAGGACTGTAGTGTATTTGCCATCGCTATTGTCCCACTTTATTGTCAGCAACTTTGGGATCTCTTCCATTAAAGATATGGTCATTACAACAGTAATAAACAGATTCTTGTATGCTTCAAAATCAGATGGTTTCACTTTAATTTTGTAGCTGCACATTCATTTCACATAGCTAATATGATTAATAAAAAGGCTCATAGACCAGCTTTTACAATGAGAGTATGACCACCATTACACTGGAGTAGGCTGCTGTCTTACTCCTACACAATTCCTACTGCAAGCATTGATAACACCACTGGCTCCTCTCAGCTCTTTAATATACTGACGTCTTCTATACACTTCATCACTCAGGAGAAAAGGGTGACCCCTCTTTTCATTCACAATCTTTTTATTGGTTTCTCATTTCCAAACTTGTCTCTTTGATTCAACAAAAAAAAAAACAGAAATTCGAATGAAAACAAGACTCTTGACCTCTTTACTCGCTATAGCAATGAAGGAAGGAAAAACTTGCACACATAGTGGACCATTGACATAAGGAAGAACAGTAGATTTGTTCAGAGCAACACAAGGAATCCACAACAAGGAAAAATTTGCTACACTTTTTGATAAATCAAAAAAATTCATTAAAAGAATCCAATAATACCATATAAAACAAATAATTCACAGAAATCCACCAGTAATCCAGAAAATCCTAGACATAATCCAAAAAATCCAAGCAAGAACCCAAGGCAATCCAGTCACAAAATTCAAGAATTTACTGTCAGTGATTTATTAACCATTACAAATAGTTAATTAAATTAATTAATGGTTAATTACCTTTAATAAAATGGTGGATACTAGTTATTATATGATCAAAAATTCAAGCAAAAAAAATCCAAGAAAATCTAAAAAAAGTCCCCCATAAATCCAGTCAAAATCAGGGTGGGTTTTGAATTTGGTACATTTTTGGAGGCCGTCACCGACCCCTTGAAGCAGTGTCATAATAACAAAGGTGTGGCTTTGACAAAGTTAATTAAACGGAGGTGTGATGTGTTTTATTATACATTCACAATTCATAAAGACATCCGTGAGATTCGTGAAAATTGCGTACCTTGCAGAAAACGACTTACATGTATAAGGTATTCTGTTTGGTACTTTACTATACAATAGCATGGAATACATCGTGTACATTCTACATGTACATCAGACTACATGTAAAAGCATAATATTCATACGACTAAACCAAAAAATGTTGTAATGCCAAAGGCAATGGGACTGTAACCGTGTCCCAGGTCCCACTCCACTAGAAATGAATGCTCTTTCCAATTCGGGCCAAGTCCATAAAAGGTTGATCAAAGGCATGTATGCTAGTCTACAAATGAGATCTAAACTCAAAAAATCAGGCAACAACACCTGATGCTGGGAGAAGACCAGCTGATCATCAAATGCTTTCATTAGCTTATCCATGCGCATTAAAAAAGCAACAATTAGTACCTATTAAGAAAGATTCTCACCAAAAAAGAATAAAGATACAACCCAGGCAAGCGTCCTCTATCACGTGAGCTGATGTATAATTGCATTAAAAAAAGAATGTACATGTATCATCAAAATTTTGCTATAATTTATAATATTTTAAGCAAATAAAGGCCAAATGCATATGTCTTATATAATACTTTCCCATGATGTGGAATTAATATTAAAGGTAAGAATAATTATGCAAATAGTAAAAATAATGTATGAATATTAAACTGACCTGCCATATTAACTTCAAATAAAAATCAGTTCTGATAACAAAGTCAGTTATACTTGTGGGCCAAGCACATGTGTACAATTATGTCTCATATTCTCTCATGGAATTCAAATCCCACATCACATGTTCGCGACATTTTCAGTGCTATAATAACAATAGTATCTTCAATAACAATAGTATCTTCTATAATATTAATATTATCTTATTTACTGACCATCAAAAGGTGGAAATTTTCCCACATCAGATCCTAATGATACTCAATCTCTGGTATATCCCTCAAATGATGGCAGGCTATCTTTAAGATTATCATCAACATCTAACACAAAGAAAACATCAATATCAATATTCCATAATTGGGTTCAACAAAATGACACAATTAATGCCTATGAAAAGTTAAAACATTCACCTATAAATATAATTTTCTTCTCAGCAGTTTTGTGCCCATATATCTATGTCGTGCCGGCCCACCTCTTGCTGGACGAAGACGCTAGCTAGTCTCGCTAGCATTAAAGTACTTTATCTAAAATGAAAAATAAAATAATCATTTTAATTTTTCTTAACCCACTCTCCTACTTGGCAAAGTATCTAGCGGATTCTTTTAAAACTTCTTCCACAATCCAATCATGAAGCCTTAGCCAATCATTTTAATCAATGCAGCCGCTAAACATTAATAATAAACAAGTCCCATAAATGAATAAAAATTGCGATAGCCCACATACTCAATAAATAATGGCTGGATCTGATGACTCCAAAATTGAGATCATCTCTCCTAAATCACTCCTAAAAGATTCTTCTTCAGAAAAATGTTATCATCTCCATCTTTACCATCATGCTAGCCACGTGCGACGCGTGAGTACACAATGGCAGGGGTGGGCCAGGAATCCACTGCGCATGCGTAGAGTCACTAATGAAT